TCTGTGGTGTGAAAAACACACTGAGAAAGGATCTTGGTTTCATTCATGACAAATACCGGAGTCTCACGGTCCTTACTAACAGTGTAACTCCAACCACAAGGCTGAAGCTAATGAGCTAATGGGAGCAGGTCACCCTGTGGGAGGTGGCAGGGACGCCGACTGGAGACATGACGTTATTCCTGCCTTGGGCACAAGCTCGGGCACTGCTTTGCATAGCAAAGTCCTTCACACACCCGCCGATTTGTCACCCTCTAAAAGATCCATTGTTCTCAATGAGTCAAGTGCCCTGACTTCACCAGGCTGTGACATCCCAGTGCAGAACTGACACCCCAAAGCAGAAATCTGACATGCCAAAGCAGGACTCTGCTGGGCAATGACTGCTTGGGATGACTTTGCCAAAATGATGGCACAACAAAGCACCACTCTCATGCAGTTTCCTCATCAAAACATCCTCCTGAAAATACCAAGAACGTGATCTCCCCCTTGTACTGGAAATACATCTCACCTATATTTGCATTTGTCCCTCACCTGTATTTGCTTTTGTCAGGGATTTTTGCTGCTGTTCCCTTGTGGAATGTAACCTTGTCTTTCATTGCATTGTAGGTAAGTCATGGGTGGAGCTGGCAGGGGTTCTTAAGTCATTCTAAAAGGTTAAAGAACCTCGAACAGGCTTTTGTGTTGGATTGGGCAAAAGAATTCAGTTTCAGAGTTAATTACCCATCCAGATTTCATACAGCTTTTGTAGCTGTCATTTCTTGGAATGAAAAGAAATATAATGATATATTGCAAAGATTATGAAGGAAGATTGGGATATATCAGGGATATTACTTTAACTGAAAAAAACATCAGAAAAGTGTCCTAGTTTCTGTTTAATTCCAAAGCTCAGTATATGGAACAAAACATCCAGGGGAATTAATTATGTTTTTGTTGAGGTTTTTTTGTGAGCTTTTTAAATCCCACAGAAATATAGATGCAGGAGGGTATCAGTCATCTATACACAGAACTTCATAAAGTATCATTAGAGAACCCTCCAAATACATTGATTTTTTTTTTCAGCAGTAACGTATCAATATTTTCACTTCAGCAAAAAAACTTTAACCTTCATTATGAAACATTTTTCTGTGGGTTACTAAACCACAGTGTATCAGGGAAAATAAATAGTTGCAGCTCCACATCTTTTGTGTAGAAAGTGAACCTGCAATGCTCTGGCAGGGGAGCACTAAGTTTAATGTATTACTCCCTCCACCCATCAGCAGTTGCCTTATCTCTCCTCAGTTTACATTATCTGACCCTTTTTTCCTGCCTTTTAACCCTATAAAGTAAAGACTCCTGAGCTTTCCAGGCAGGGACTGTGCTCATTTTCAGCCTAGCAGTTACTCGTGGCTGGATTATTCCCATTTGTATTTGGGCCAACATCATAATTTGATTCACTAGGTCTTCTACCTGGCATTTATTCTCATAGCAACCTCCTTCCAGCTCAGCTATCATTTAGTCAGACTAAACAAACCAAGGGGTTTGGGGGCACCTCTCCAAGGGGCTGAAAAGTGCCACTGATTTGCTGGACCCTCCCTTAACTGGAGTCCAGCAAGTCAATGTGTTCTAGCATTGGGCTGCTCTGAGTCAGGCACAGAAACAAGAAGATTTTATGGCCAGAACATAAAAATATATAACAGTGGACTTTGAACTGCAAAATCTTTGTTGTTGTTTTTTTTCCTTCACTTCCTACTGGTTTGATTTCTTCTGAGCATCCTTTCAATGCAGCTGTTCAGGCAGTTGAAAGTCTCTCGACCTATAACTGGTTGATAATGTTAGCACAGCTGACTTCAAAAAGGAGGTTACAGACAGTCTACAGTGAAGGTCCTGAGATATTCCACTGGTTTGTTTCACCTGTTTTTCCTCTTGAAAAATGAGCCTGAGTTACAGACTTGGGTTTTGTTTACACTTAATGTTAAACGAAATGAATGTGGTTCGTTCAACCCAAGGTAATATTACTCTTTATTCTTCTTTCAGAATATCTTAAATTACTCATCAACACTGAGGCTAAACCTGTACCACTGGTTGCCAGTTTGATGTTTGTCCAGGGCAGAAATCTGCCTTCTCCCTCCCCTACAGAGATTAGCTGAGCTCTGCAAGAGCAGCAGCAATTTTTATTATCTGTATCTAGAGAGTTTAAAGTACTCCATAATGACAACTTTGCAATATTTATACCCTGAGTAGCACTGCACAGTCTCTACTGGTCCAGCCCTGGGAATCTAAAACAAATTCCCCAAAGTAACTCAGGAGAACCTCTTTCATAACCTACTCCAAAGTGAGTTAGACCTAAAGATTCAGACTTCTCCAGCCTAGCCTTCCCTACACCAGTGCAGTCCTTCTCATCAGGAACACAAGATGTTACCCACTGGGGCTTTTTTCCTTCCCCCCCACAGCTCTTTCTCTTCTGAGCTGCTCGTTCCTCCCCACACCTGTGCCACAGTCATAATTGCTAGTCCAGGGTGTCCTTTCAACCCTACATCCTTTGGTTTCACAGCCTGTGAAAGAAATACATGTTCCTCTATTTTTCTGCCCAGCCCCCAGTCATTATTCCCCAAAAATCCTTTCTCCTCATCACACCTTGTTTACAGCCTGGATTTGCAGCACTCCCTTCATTAAGCTGCACATAAGAACCTGTTGTTATTTTGCTTTCCTGAAAGCCATTAATCCATTAATCTGAGCTTCTCAGGGGCATTAGAAATGGGAAAGCAGCTCAGTTCTCCTCTGAATTTGCTGCAAATTTTGGCTTTTTAGCATCTCAGCCTGTGACCATCCTGGAAACTCCATGGCAGCAGTCTAAATGACAAGGGGTGGGTGTTGTGTGTGTCATTGTCACCCAAGAGTGGGACTTGGGGTGTCACCAGCAGGGTGTTCCTACAGCCATAACTGGGGGTTGCATCTTCTCATGCTTCTGAGCACTCTGCCTCTGCTCCAGACACCTGGAGGGCTCCCCTAAAGCCATGGGGGGATGCAGCGGACTTCCCAATGTCCAGGAGAAGCAGAGGATGGGTGTAAAAACCTGTGGTGGTCAGGACTAAGACATTATGAAGGACTTGGAAGGGTGAAGAAACAGCTGTGCTGCACCCCTGAGCAGTTTAGGAGACACCACATTGGGGGTTTACAGTTTTAGTTGAGTGCACCTGTGGGCATAAACTGGCTCTGAGCTGGGCTTACGTGTGAAAATCAACCAATCAATCTTTCCTGGGTCATTGACTTTCCTTTGGCATGGATTAATCACCATGGGGTTCTTCTGTTTATCACCAGCTGTTTTAAGGGGATGGCGGGGTTGTGTTGTTTGTTTGAAGTCAATTGGCACATTCCATTTGGCAGAGACCATCAGGTCACCATATAAAACCACAGCAAAACTTTACACCTCTGGTTTTTCACACCAATTTTCCCAGAAACTATAATTACCCCTAAAAATGATGCAAGGAGGACAAAGATCGAGGCTTATTTTTACTGAGGATGGAGAGCCCTACAACAATCCTATTTCCTGAATAAACTGTGTTAACCTATTTCCCAACACAGCCAGCTGGGAACATTTTGGTGTCCAGTAAACTCAAATTTCAAGGCTGTGTCAAAATGGGCAAAGAGGAACCCTGGAGCACCAGTCACTGCTGTGACCACTTCCTGAAGGGGAAAGCACCTCTTGAACCTTGAACCATGCTCTTGCAACATCTCTGAATCAAGAAAGGCAGAACCCAGCATAGGCTTGGAAAGCTGTGTCATGAACTTGTCTGTTCACGTCAAACTAAAGCAAACTGTGCTTATTACAAAATAATCTACAACTGTTCTGTCTCCAAAGGCCCGAGCAAAGTCTGGGCAAAAGAGGAAGGAGATACAAATGCTGAGATAAGGCAGATGATGCTCCTTGGGATGTGGACTGAGATCCACTGCTTGGTCAGTGCAGTGTCTATCACAGCCACATGCTTGCAGACACAAGGCTACTGATGTGCCAAAAAATTAAAACACCCACCCAACTTGGCCCAATGCAGACAGTAAACTCCCTTCTGAAGGCAGCAGCTCTGCTAATATGAAGAAAATTGCTCATTTTAGAATTCTGAATAAAGCTCTAAAATTGCTATAGTGCACGCCAATACAAACCATAGAACTTCCTGCCCTGGCTTGATCCCCACTAACACCATCCAAAGAGCTCAGTTTTCTCCACACCATAATCTCCCCTCAGCACATCCACACCTACTCTTGCTTTTCAGCACCCTCCTTACAGGAGAGCCTCTACAAAATTTGTGTTTTCCCTTTTCCTCAGCTGTGGCAGAAGGGTGGGTGGCACTTCAACTGTTTACAGCTGTGGAGTGACAACATTTCTCTTACATAACACCTGGCCACAGGCCAGCAAACAAGGTGGACTGGACTTCAAGAGCCTTCAGAGGGGACAAATTCCTGCCTTAGTTAGAAGCTGCTTCTGACTCACCGTAGGCAGCACTTGCACTTCACAACACAGAGAGAGGGAGAGAGAGAGAGAGAGATTTCAAACAAAATCTTAAATTCTGTCAAAGTTGATTCATCTGCTAGAAAAGCTCTTGTCACACAATATGTGAATAACCTTTTCCCTTTTCTTTCCCTTTTGTAAACCAACCCTGACACCTGCTATGGGATTTACCTTTTCATTGTAACCTGTTTTTATTTAGTTTGGTGTAGGAGCCCAGGGGCATGAGTCAATGGGAAGGCAGTTATTACTTACAACAGGGAAACCAGCTGAAATGTTTGGCAACACATGCATTAAATAACTTGAACCTTAGACAGTTCAGCCTATCACATGAATGGTGTTTTTCAGATTAGCAGACTTTTCTACCTTTACCTTCCACTCCTCCTCCTCTGTCACAGAAGGAGGGCCCCTAAATCATATGACTGGATAAAAAGGATTGCACAGTGTGAAACACTCCTGTTTCCTACTGACGAGGGACAAGCACGTCAAGGCAGAACTCAGAGCCAATCAGAGAAGAGCTGAAATGAACCTTCTGCCTTCTTTCTCTACAGAAACATGGGCCTTTATACTTCTTTTTGTGGTCCTCCTCCTAGTGTGAGTAAAATATTCTTTATTGATTCTCTGCTCCTGCCATTTCTCTCTTTTTGCCATTGCTCACTCTCATACCACTAACCTGCTGAAGAGTAGATGTGATTTCCACTTTTCCAGCATCTAACCAGGCTCTGGGATGTAGCAGAGAAGTCTAAAGACTGTACATGTGAGTGATCTTGCTCCAAGGTTTGGAGTATTCCCACCCAGTTATGACATTACTGCTCAGCATCAAAGAAATAATTGGATAATAACAATGCCAGGTACTGGTTACCATCAGGGTGCTGGTTTCAGTCAGGGTCCTGATCCATCAGGTGATTTTTCACAGACATCCAGCTGTTCCTTCCTGGCTGAGGCTGCTCTGCAGGCAAGCCAATAGAATATGATCCTCCTGCACATCTGGAGAGCAGCAGAAAGGCACCAGGAGAAGAATATCTGTAGGATCAGTTTTTACTCCTGATTTCTTCCATAGTGCCCAGCTAAGATTCTCCTCAGGGGCACCTGGACCAGGAGGGGTCCTTTGCAGAGGTTTGATTTCCATCCCATGTTCCTCCTCACAGCTGGGGGAAGCAGTGGAGCACAGAGCAATGTCAGCCACCTGCTCCTGGCTTTCCAGACAAAATTCCACAGCAGAAATGTACCCCGAGTGCTTCAGAGCAACCCTGCTAATGAGGAAATGCTGTCCTTGGCTTTGCTGGTGCCATTCAGCACTGCAGCAGGGCAAGGCTGGTTAAAAACCCTTGACTGACGTGGTGCACATGAGCATGGCCCATTTGTCTGCCCTGGCAACACTCCAGCCACAGCAGCTCAGCAAGCTCAGAGTTTTAGCCATATTTTTCAAAATTTTCCTGTGATTTGGATCACTGAAAAGCCTGTTTGGGGCTGGCTCTTACAAAAAACAAACAAACCCCTAACCAAACCAAATCAACAAAACCAAAAAAGCCACCCTGAATCTTGATCCAAGCTCTCCTACTTCAGTAACTCTGTGGCTATCTAAAATTGTTGGTTACCAGACCTGCCTTCTGCAGGCACCTGTAATTCTGTTGTGGCAAAAGGGACTAAACCCAGATCTCTGTGCTCTGATATCAGAGCTAAAATAGAAATTTCACTGCCCATTGACACAGAGAGATTGTTTAGATGTTTCTTGTCCAGCTGGGGCAACACTGTTCCAGTTCACACATGAGGGAACTTCAGGCATTTCTGATTCATACCCATAGTAGGAAGAAGTAATGATTATTCTTTGGCTTTACACTGAATGGTCCTTTTCAGTCTGCAGAAAACCCTGACACATTTTACTTGTAGGAGTGTTAGACTACATTTTCCTGGCCATGTTTCAAGTGGTCCAAGCCTGTTTTCCTACAGTATTTCTGGGCTTTGTAACCAGCCCAGCCTGACATTTCCTGGTCCTCCCGCAACTTTGGCTACCTATAAACATTACAAACGAGAATCCACAATCATTTGATTCCTAGCACTGAATTAACCTTTGACAAAAAATAGTTAAACATTGACAGACTGTATTCTGCAAATCCTTTCTTCACCTGAACACATCTAGCTCCTCATTTTTCACCCATCCTGTTTGGACCATAAGTTAGGATCTGCATTTTTTGCTCAGTCAGAAGCTGTGCTGGGGGACACTGATCTCATTTGGGGTCCCCAAAATTTAAAAAAAAAAACATTGGTTATTGTAAGGGAGACCCTCCCTATGTCTCAACCTAGATTTTGGCTTTTCAAATAAGTGTCCTCAAGATCCTGTCTGAGCAACTGCTGCCTCTTGACCTGAAGAGGATCTCTGATAACATCCCCCTGCCAAACCTTCCCTGCTTTACTTCCCTTCCGCAATGAACTGCTCACTTGGGAAGCTGTAGCTACTAACTAAAACCAAATATTTTGAGGAGCTCTTTCAACACAGCCAAAGATGAGCTTCAAAGGGCTGCAGCCCAGGCCCTTGTTGAGAAAGAGAAAGCCCCAAGGTAGGAGCAATAACTTCAGAGCTGCCAGGAAGGGTGCTTCAGAGGAAAGAAATTTGCAAGGCTGTCGATAAAATCTAAAGAGAAAACCATCAAGACTAGGCTTCCACTGAGCTAATGCTGGACTAAGGGAAGGAGAACAATTACTGAAATTGAAGTACAGTTTGATGAAAGCCCTCTTTGGGACATAATTCCTGGCATTGCTTTGATTTCTCTTCAATACAAACATGTGAGCTTGGTGTTCCTTCTTCCAGCTGTGTTTTCTGCCTGTCCTTTAGTAGACAATGAGCCCCTTTTAGGACTTTTGCTCAAGATTTCCAGATGCTGTCTCCACAGGTGGTCTGGTGGAAACAATTGCTTTCACACCAAAAGGATCCCCCTGAAGTTCTGTGTGAGCCTTACCATGGTTATCAAGTAGTTTTTTACAGAGCAGTTTTCACTTGCTTTTTTTACACCACTTGGTCCAACCTCCTCTCCCTCATATCCCAAGGGATGTTGCTGCAGTCTCCATGTTTAGGAGAGCTCACAGTCCCAATGCCATCGTGATGTAACACTGCTCTTTTCTGTCCCACAGATATGGGATCTGGCCATTTGGTCTGTTCAAGAAGTTGGGCATTCCCGGGCCAAGACCTCTGCCTTTCTTTGGGACATCCCTGGAATATCGCAAAGTGAGTGCCTGAAGCTGCCTTTGCTGGCACAGCTGTAGCTGAACAGATACAGAATGCTGATAAGTTATCTCCAAACGCCAGCTCCTCTGTCACGCAGGGCCTGTGCAGAGGTGTGGGGGGTTTGCAGGCGAGACATTCACAGAAGTGATGCAAAGCTTCTGTGTAAGGGACAATCTGTTTGTACCACTGGAAAACTGTACACACCTCTGGGAAAAACACATGCTAAAGACGAAAGAAACCTAGGAACTCTCTCTTTTCTGGTCAGCAAAGAGGTAACAGGGGCTGGGCCTGGTTGGGTGGCCTCTGCTGCAGGCTGGGCCCCATTCCTGTGGTGCTGGGCAGGTGAGGGGAGTGTGTGTGGGGCTGAAGCCAGGCCAGGCCATGGCTGTGATTTCTGACATCTTGCTGCTACTGGGCCCTCTCTGGCTGCCTCCCCAGGGCCCAGCCAGGTCTGCCAGCCTCAGGAGCAGCCCAGGGCTGGGCCAGCTTGGCCAAGATTCTACCACCATTGAGATTTGCCCAAAACAACTGGGCCAGGGAGAGGAGAAGCCTTCAGCCCCCTCAGGCAGAGTTCCCACCACAAACTACTGGGCCCAGCCAGCTCAAGTGATCATCTGCAGGCCCTGGGCAAGATATTAACCCTCTCAGTGCTTCAGTCCTCCCTCGAGTGAAAGGAACAAAATGCAGGCAGTGTACAGGAGCAACATGAAGACACCAAAGTCAGTGAGGAAGTCCCAGATGGGAGGGATGAGGAGATGTCTTGATCTTAGGGCTGAAATCCTCCGGTAAAGCTATGGAGGAAGATTCTTTTTCCCTGTAATGCATGAAAGTATGGGGAGATGAAAGTGTTCAAATTGTAGATATTGAGCAAAGGGCTCCATGCTAAAGTAAGCAGATGTTAAAGTAGCTGTGATCCCATGAGAACTTTGAAGAGAGAAGAGAAGAGTGATGAAGATCCTGAGCCCCCAGGAATAAGATGATTTCAGAAATAGATAATGAGAACCTTTGCCTTGAGCAGCTCATCTCTAAAACAGTATCCCAGAAGCTGACATGGCCCATAAACACAGCTGTGGGAAAAGCTTGTGGAAAATGGGAGGGATTTCATGACTGCAGATTTCCCCAGGTGGCTGCTGTTTGTGGAAGTTAAAAGCCACAAGAGAACTGTTTTCTTGTGGAGAGACCTCCACATTAACATTAACAAGAGGGACCAATACAATTTTTAAATTTCTTTCCACAGGGTTTCCTGGAATTTGACACTGAATGTTTCAAGAAATACGGGAAAATCTGGGGGTGAGTATGAACCACTGATCTCTTCTGAGAGTAAAACTAGAATCTGCTCAAATGGGAGAAAATGTTCATTAGGAAAGCTCCCTTTTCTCCACCTGCAGCCCTGACAGTCCCAACAGGATGAGAACAGCAGAGACAGGGTGCTGCAGGTGGCTTACTTGGAGCCAGGTGACACAGAGCTGTGTCACTGTCACATCATACAGAAACTATTTTGACCAGTGCTGTGAAAAGCAGTTTAAATCTGGTAACAATAGGCCCTCACCTGCCCCTAACAAAATCATCAGCAGAACTATTTACTTCAGTGTGATCTGGAAGTGGGAGGTTGGGTTCCTCTGGTTTACCAACAGCAGAGGAATGTGAGTGACTCCCTTTGGAGCTGATCCAAAGAATTCCTTGTGCTGCTGATCCCCACCTGCTGCAGCAGGAGCTGCTGCAGTAATGGCTCTTCTGTTCTAGACACCTCCTCCCATAGCTTTCATCACTGTTGTTATAACTTAGGCTACAACCTTGCATATCCTGCATGATGCATCCACCAGTCCCTACAGCAGCTTTAAGAAATGGAGTCTGGAAAATGTATGTTTGCACAAATGGGTAGAGAGCACAGATCAGCTTAATCTACATCTGTTCCAGGAAAGCCTTCAGAACTGGCAGCTTAAAAAGACAAAAACAAGGACTGAGTTTCATCTCTAAGGGTGTCTCAGTGCTGTCAGCCCAAGCCTCCAGACACCCAACTCAAGAGCCTGAAAGGGGTCGAACAAGTTTCCTTCTAATACTGTAATGTGTTTAAGTGCCTGGAAAAACACAGAGAGTCAGGGGAGGAAGTGAAGACACTTGCTTCATTTAGTATCTGGTCCTTTGAGCAACTGAGCCCTGCTCATTTCCCAGCGAATTTGGAGGGTGTTTATCCCCCTTTACCATTTCCAAAACCAGATGGGAAAAGGTCTGGGAGTCCTTTTCCATCTCTACTTTCTACATTTTGATACACAGACAACAGAGCAACAAGGCTGCTGATGGAAGAACATTTGTTCGGCACATGGGCATCTCGTGGGCATCAGCCAATCCTTACACTTCAATTATCTGGGGTTATTTACCTGGTTCTCTTCTCCCCCCACCAGGATTTACGATGGCAGACAACCCACCCTGGCTGTCACAGACCCCCAGATCATCAAATCTGTGTTGGTTAAAGATTGTTACACCACCTTCACCAACCGCAGGGTAAGAGCACAAGTGCTTTGATTGCCCACAAAGTCCAGAAAAGTGCAGGAGGACAGAGGCATGCCAAGCATGCTTTGGGAACCAGTGGCTGCACTACAGGGATTGCTGAACACAACCACTGCACGTCACTCTTCCCCTGCCTTACAGCCTGAACTGCACACAGGGGCTGGCAGAGGGAGCAGACCAAGTCTGTTCTCACACCTATTATATATATTTATGTATATGTGGATGGATTTGGGTTTGTGGGAGCATGCAGGAATCTGTAATGGTATACATATGCCACCAGCTGGGATGCAGGGATGGGACATGGTGGGTACACACAGACATGCAGGTGTTGGACTTGTTCTGGGGCTGGGAATGGCACCTCACAGCTGGTTTAGTGTGGGAAAGGGGTTCCTTTATGGATGTGTGCCTTAAGAGAGGCAGCTGCCAGCATCAATGCCACTGGAAGAGCCCAGGCAGGGGCTTGTTTGCCACACTGCCATCCCTGCAAGGAGGCTGCTCTCTTTTCTGGGGTTAACTCTTCCTGTTTTCCCCTGCAGCGCACGGACCTGGCCGGGGTACTGACCAACGCTGTCTCATTAGCTGAAGATGACCATTGGAAAAGGCTCCGTACTGTGCTCTCTCCAACCTTCACCAGTGGGAAACTAAAGGAGGTAAATCAGAAGGGCAGGTACAGACTAAATCAGAGTCAATAAGCAGTGTTTTCAGGCTGAGATTATCACAGGGGTCTGATTTCTTTAGTCAGAGCCTGGCAACTAAGCTGGCCTGTTTGATTAATGCCTAACTGAAACCAGAAAACTCTGAAAATAAAGCCTGAGCAGAGAGATCTTATTTGTAAATATTCATGACACTGTAGTCTCCATGAGCCTGTGTAAAGGAGTAAAAGGTATTGTCCTGAAGTGACCATGCCTGGTTTGTGTTACAGATGTTCCCTATAATGAAGCACTATGGGGAAGCTTTGGTGAAGAATGTTCAAAAGCAAGTGAAAGAGAACAGCTCAATAGCTGTAAAGGAGTAAGTAGAGGCTAAGAGCAGCAGGCAGAGCAAACCTTGTTAAAAGTGCTGTGGTTCATTGGCTACCAGCAATGCAGATCTTTCCCTGGGTCAGCCAGGGCTCTGAAAGGAGGAACGGGATTTACTAAAAGCCTGACTGGAAATTTAAAAGGGGAAAATTAAATTTGGATGTTAGGAAACTTCCCAGAGGTAAATAGGAAGGAAAATGCTCCAGCACAGCTTTGTGAATCCAGAGATCCAAGATGTCCCATCCCAAGCTTGGAACAGGGGGCTGTGCTGGGTGGAACTAGACCACTCCCAGGGCTTGTTTGAGGCAAGGTGTACTGCCACCCCTCCTCAAGAGGTTAAATGCTAAATTTCACATGCTGTCCTGCCACCAACCCCTTCCATGCTGTTCTAAAATCCTTGAAAAAGCTGACTTCAAAACCTGTGCAGGCTGGAAACAAAAGCTCTCTAAAAATCTATCTCCTTCTCTAGAAGTGCTGTTCAGTGCCACATAGCCAATTTTCTCTTCAAACCTAAGGCAGGAGGTCTTCTAAGACTTTATATTTGAATGTCACATCCACATGAGGAAAAAAATATATTCATTCAGTCCAAATATTTAACCACAGTCTATGCTTTTCATCAGCATCTTTGGGAGCTACAGCATGGACGTGGTCACCAGCACTTCCTTTGGTGTGAACATTGACTCCATGAACAACCCCAAGGACCCCTTTGTCAGAGAGATGAAGAAACTGGTCAAGTTTGACTTTTTTAACCCAGTCTTCATCTTGTCATGTAAGTGACTCCAGGTTTTGCTTGGATAACTTCCCTTGCTAGGAATGAAGTCCTACCGTCCCTTGTCTCATCATTTCCTCCTTATGACCTTCATGTTGAAACCCTGAGGATGAGAGGTAAAAGCTTCCTCCACATTTGGCATCCCCAGTGCAAGAAACTTATGAACCACCCAGAAATATTCAGTTAAGTGCTGGGAAATTATTTAGAGGTTGAAAAGCAAGTGAGGCTTGAGGAGAGCACTGCTATCTGAAATGCATTTTCTGGAAATGAGTGCTTAGTGGGGACTGTAATTAGATGCAATTTCCTCCTGTGCAACAGCTTAGCAGCAATGGACCTTAAATTAATGTCAGATACCTTGCTGAAACCCAGGGAAAGTTTGGATCTGTCCACAGAGGAGGTTCTGGTGCTGTTGATTTCATGAAACTATAGAGAATATCAAGATCCAGTTTCTATGAGGAAGGAAAAGCTTTGAAAGGGACTTAAAAATGTTTGCATGGTCACAGCAAGGCAGTGAACAGCTCAGCCTGAACAAAGAACTCAGAATTTTTAGTATTTCTCTTGTGAGCCACATGCCTGTTGTGTCCAGAAGTAACCTGTCCTTAGAAAACAGAGCCTTAGAAATAGGAGGTGGAATATGCCTTGGTCTTCTCTTAAATGAATGATTATACCCAGCTTGGTTGTCCCCATGTGACACAAAAACTATTCCAAGGGAATGGAACAGAGGGGAAAAAAAGGAAAAAAGTCCATGCTTTTCTCATCTAAATAAATTAAAAAAGGAAATAAATTCCCAGTAGCATCCACAGCTATCAGGAGGGGTTTATTTAAAGAGTGCAATCTAATTTTCTATTTGTTTTTCAGTTGCTTTCCCATTCCTTATTCCTGTCATGGCCAAAATGAACGTAAACATCTTCCCCAGTGATGCTGTAGATTTTTTCATGAGATCCCTTGCCAAAATTAAGCAGGATCGTGAAAAGGAGGCTCACAAGGTGAGTGGGAATTTAAGAGCAATTGTGGCAGAAAGCACACTGAAGTGAGATATAATTAGGGTGATGATATCAAAGGTGAAGCCAAAGTACAATGACTCAACAAAACCCTGAGCCTACTCAAGTGTAAACACTTCATTTTAATACTGTCAGAAAAGCCCCACTTGACCCGTCCTGGCAGAGAATCAGGGGGACTTTGTACATCCCTGATCTGAAGCTAAATCCAGATAAAGGCTCAGCAGAATTGGACTAACCTCAGTCTGCAGCACTTGTAATGAGAGAGTGAAAGACTCCCTGAAGAAGATTAGGCAGAGGATGAGCAAGTGCAGAGTAAGCAGCAGATGAATAGCAAAATCACCTTTAGGGTTGTGCCTTCCCCTCTTGCTTTTCAAAAACTGCAGCTTGCTTCCTGACCAAATTCTGCCTTTTAGAGTTTGAATCCCTTTACCCAAATTCACTCAAGACACTGCTCTTCCACCCAATGGCTTAATGGACAGTACAGACAGGTTTCCAAAATAAAAAGCAAGTGTTACATTTTTCAATAAGGAAGTAGTGTGCATTTTGGGGATGCCTTGAGTCTAAAACTTGTGCTTAGGCTATGAAATCTGCCTATCTAAGCCCTCCAAGAAAGCTGTCACCAAAGAGACTCTCCTGCTTTCCCTCCCAGGGCAGGGTAGATTTCCTGCAGCTGATGATTGAATCCCAGCGCTCAGCCAGCCAGGACAACAAAGAAGCAAATAACTCATATAAAGGTAACAACAGCCAAATCCTCATCATGGGCATGGGGCTGTAGGAAAGAGGAGAATATGGGGAGGTGTTTGTGTCACCATCATCTTCACCAACCAGCTCCAGATGGAGCTCTGTCTGCTGGTGCCAGCACCAGGTACTAAGATCCTGGGAGCAGGACTGCTTGTCAGTTATTTATGCCCAGGAAATTACCTGCCTCCTCTATCAAATGGATTTTTCCAGGCAGGTAGAACAGTTATTAAAGCCTCATCAGAAAGCAACTGCAACAAACCTGTCTCAACACCACCTGCTGCTGCCTGCTCCTTGCTGAGACCATCAGCCAACACTGCTTTTCTCATCTCCCCACAGCCCTGACCGACATAGAGGTCCTGGCCCAGGCATTCATCTTCATCTTTGCTGGGTATGAGCCCACCAGCAACACCTTAGGTTTCCTGGCCTACGAGCTGGCCATGCACCCTGATGTGCAGGAAAAGGTGCTGCAGGAGATCGACACAGTCCTGCCCAACAAGGTAAGGAGGACCCTGACCCTGCAAGGCCTCCTGGTTCAGTCAGGGCAATGAGACATCTTTAGCTCCTAAACACCATGGATTTTCCAAGAGATCTGGCAGACACACCCTCAGACAACTCAGCCCTGCAGTGGTTTTCTTTTGGCAGCTGGAACCTTCCAGCCTCCCCAACTGCTCAAACCCATTTGCCACATTCTGCAGAAGAGGATGTGGATTGCCAAGCATTTCCATGACTCAGAGGTGGAAAAATGAAACCAGTTGCTCAATTCCTACCTTGCTTTTTGTCCTTCAGTGAGTCTGAGTCAAATTTGGGGCAGTGGGGGTTGGGGATACTATTGTTCCTACAGCCATTTTAGGAGAATCCAGTTCTGATGCCAGCATACCTGGTCACCTTCCTCATGTGGTCCTGCAGGCTCCTCTCACGTACGAAGCAATTATGAAATTGGAATATCTTGACATGACAGTGAATGAAACCCTCAGGGTCTATCCCCTTGGGGGGCGGATTGAGAGAACCTGCAAGAAAGACGTGGAGATAAATGGAGTGACCATTCCCAAAGGAGTCGTGGTCACAATTCCACCCTACGTCCTGCACCGCGACCCTGAGTACTGGCCCAACCCAGACGAGTTCAGGCCAGAAAGGTACAAAAAACTTAATGAAAGGGAAGAAATATCACACTGCTTTTTTCTCAGTAATTAAGCATTCATCTCTGATTAGCTTCCTAATGGTGTTCTTCCTATCCTTTTACAAACAATACAGATGAGAAATTGCAGGCTCGTGGGAATGTCATTTTAAAAGGAAATTGAGCTTTGTGCTTAAAGGAGGGTTTCAAACAACATAATCTTCTTGGGAGAATATCACTGCTATCTCACAGGATCTTGTACCCAGTTTTTAAGCTGCCTGAGAGAGGGGAAATTTGGAGGTTTTGTAACTGCTGGCCATCCTCTGTATAATCCTTCTTGTTGAACCTGTTCCCTTCATACAAGCTTCTACTAAATATGCCAGACTCGATCCTTCCAGAATTGCTTTCCCTCCTTGTTTTCAAGGATAACCTTCCCTAGCTAGTTATTTTTGTAATTGATATCTGCTTCTCGGTCCCAGAGAAACTGAAGCCATAGGCTGCTCCTAACCAAAACAACTTCTGGTTCTTCTGTCTCTAAATACCACAGACAGGAAATATCTGTCTCTGTGGGAGAGGATGTTGCCTGGATTTTCACCTTGCTTCCTATTTCCACTAATCTGGATGGAGAGAATTAAAATCAAACCCTCAAGTGGGACTTCACCCTGTCCCAAACAAGGGCTTGGTCACAGCACTCAGTTTTGGGGGTAGACTGAGACACTTCAGGAAAAACCCAAACCAGGCTCTGCAGCGCAGCAGTGAGAGATCCCAGGATAAATTGGATGTGTAGGTTTTGTGTTTTTGCTGCCTTCATTTCTTTTCCCCAACCATCCTCCAGGTTCAGTAAGGAGAACAAGGAGTCCATAGACCCATACACATACCTGCCCTTTGGGGCTGGGCCCAGGAACTGCATTGGGATGAGATTTGCTCTCCTGATTCTGAAAGTTGCCATCGTCTCCCTGCTGCAGCATTTCACCTTCCAGACCTGCAAGGAGACTCAGGTGAGGGGCACGTGGAGGGAGCTGGGTGCCAGTGCCAGACATTTCACACTTCCAGGCACTGCAGATCCAGCTGTGCCTGAACCTCTCATCCCTGCCTGTTTAACTTATCCATCTCCACCTGTGCTTTCCCTCTCATTGTTGCAGATCCCAATCAAGCTGAGTTCAGTGGGGCTCCTAACACCAGAGCACCCAATTATTCTGAAATTGGTGCCCCGGACCGAGCCTGCCAAGAACTGAAACCCAGCCACAGCCCCCAACACACAGGGACTGCCATGCTAACAAAGGGATCACACATCTCAGGAAATCTCTCCTACACATACAGACACAGAAGAGCAGCTCCAGTTAATTCTGGAAGCAATTACTACATATTTACTAATAAACTTAACTGTCAGAAACGTGACATGGATCACTGGGCAGTGAAAATACACAGTCCCCTTAATTTTGATTGCAAAACAAGAATAAATCCAAATGAGAATCTGATCATCGACTTCAAAAGGGACTTCTCCATCTGGAGGGAAGGAATTACTGCCACATCCAAAAAGCACAAGGTGTGATGGAAATTCCAGCTGCCAGACCTCACTGGGCAGGGACGGGTGCTGTTCTTCTGGGTGTATTGATGCTTGAAATTTCATGTATTCTGATTGAGATGACTGATGTGGACTACACATCCTAGTTACCAACCCTCTCCTGTGCCATGTGTTAATTAAACTAAAGTGTGTACAAATACTGTCATTAAAAATGTTTGAGAGCTGCCCTGTGTTGTGTATAGTGGCTGATCACTTCCTATTTAAAACCCGTATTCAGCCTCAACCCTTGAAATCATCCATGTACATTGCTTTCCACTTAATTTAATGAATCTGATCCTTCATTTAACACCATCAAACCCTCCCATTTGTACAGTAGTTTGCAAACACTCCAGCTCCCACCTCTTACTTTGATTAAGAGGGTGCCTTCAGTTCAGCCCTGGCCAACCCTTTCCCATGCTGGAGTGACAGAGGATGGATTAGAGAGAGCAGCAGCTCCCAGGAGGAGAGGACAGCCCTGCAGGAGGGCCAGTGCTCCTGGAGGAATGGCCTGCACACAGCCTGGAGCTGAGCCTTTGCTCCCAGAGCCATGGATGAGGTTTAGTCATTGCTTGTGGTGGGGTTTTAGGTGCTTTGAGCTGCTCCTCTCATCAACAGGATGCCCTGACCCAATGGCTCGTGCCATCCCTGGCCATTTAAACAGGGAACATCCAAAAGCAGGTGGGAGGTTCTCCCAAAAGCAGGTGGGAGGTTCTCCCAAATCCAGGTTTCCCACCCCAGTAAATTGTGCTGGTCTTGACACCTACCAACCAAAACAGACAGTAGTGAAATGAGAAAGGTTTCTACGAGAGCTGTGGGATTCACATTCTCTGAACCTGAAAGAAGCAGAGAAAAGAATGACGAAAACATTCCTATCTCATTTGCTGCTGCTTTGTTGTGCCAAAGTAGAATGCAAAATGGAGATTGTTTACCCACAGTGATGTGTTTTGTTTCCTTGGCCTATCAGGGCCAAGTGTGTGTCCAGACTGTTGGTCAGGAGACAGTCACAGCATTTTGTTCAGTTTAGTTCTTGTTCAGTTTCAGTTTTGATGTAGTATAATGTAGTGCAATAGAGTATAGAATAATATAGTACAATAAAGTAATTAATTAGCCTTCTGATATCATGGAGTCCTCCTCATCATTCCTCCTGCAAATTGGGCAAAATTTCACTGATAAAGAGCTGCAAATCAAATCAAATCAAGTCACCCTGTAACTTTCTCCTGGCACCCTTCATGCCAAGGCATTATTTGCTGGATCATGGTCTGTAATTTTCTCCTGTGGCAATGTGCTTTTCTCTTTAGTCTAGCACAAAACTTGCACAAAACTGTGACATGACCCAAATGCTGTCATCCCACATAGCACAAATTTATTCAACAGTTCAGGTCCATTTTTTACCAATGAATATTCAGCAGTTTGGGAGTGGACATGCAACAGCACAGTGGATTCCTCATCCCTGGAAATTCCCAAATCAAAGCTGTCCATTTTTCTGGAAGATACAGCGACATTCACCAGGCTCTAATTCAAGAGTAAGCAGCTTGTGCTGTCCCAAAAGGCAGATAAAACAATTATAGTGCTCCCTTCTGATTCATCATCTGTGATAGACTGTTTGGGCTGTGCTGTGTACACAGCAAGGCTCTGAGGAGTGCTGCCAATGAGGCCCTGCCTCAGTTTAATCTGTTGCCCATCTCTTACCAGGGGTTAGAAACCATCCCTGGAAGAGCTGGGCCTGTCTGACTGGCTGTGATGCTGCTGTGTCTCTGATGGGCAGAGGGCAAAACATGGACAAATCAGTTTAAAAAAGGCATTTTTCTGTAGAAAACCCAGTGCCAGGCAAAACTAACTCAGGTTCAAAGAAAGAGAAAGAATGGGGAAACTATCATGAAAGCAGCACATCACTTACATGCCAGAGAGCTGCTTTGAAGTGATGAAAAATCATTCTGGCACCTGATGAGCAAACCCAGGTGCCTTTGCCAGAAGCACAAAGGGTTAATCCAGCCACACCCCAAACCTGGCAGCTCCTTCCCTGCACGGGGCTCTCTGGGAATGAAGTCATTAAGTGCAACTGTACAGATCATTCTTCCAAATGTGAAAAATGTGACTAATTTTCCGGCTTCAGCCAATTATGACCTGCCAGGACTATCATAACAGCCCATAAATAATCCGTAACAAAATCATGGTAATGAGTCTTCTAGAAGAAAATTAGATCCTCCGTGTCTTAACTCCATAAAAATACTCTGCTTTTAAGGGCTGCCTCCATCATTCCCAGCACTTCCCATTGCTTTGCTGGTCACCCCTCAGAAGTGACTTGGCCTGGAGTCTGCCGGTCCTGAGCATCCATCAGGTTTCACTGGTTTGGCTGTTTCCACTTTAAATCAGGCATAGCACTGTTTAACTCACCCCTTGAACAATTTTTGCTGATAAAACATTTATTTTATCTGGACTCCTTGCTGATTCATAAAATCAAAGAATCTTTATAGTTGGAAAAGGCCTCTAAGATCATCAAACCCAGCCATTAACTCACCACCACACACACCACTGAATCATATAAACCATGTCCCCAGGTGCCACAAACACTTTCTTTGAACACTTCCAGGGATGGAGATTCCCTCACTGCCCTGGGCAGCCTGTGCCAGTGCTTGAGCACTGTTCTACACACCCTTGGCAGGCCTGGGACGTGGAATTGTCCCAAAATAGCTGGGTCTCATCAGAGGAAGAAAATGGTGTAAGGTGGAAATTAATTGTGGGGACACTTCTGTTTCTCTTCTCCACCTAAGTCCTCCCAAAGCCCAAGTAAGAAGGAAAAAAGAACAAAGGAAATTTTTGTTTTTCATAATTTTAAATCACATAGAGTTTTCTCAAAGGCTTTACAACCTTGTCTCAGAGTTCTTTTCACATCACTGCAGTGTAACAGACTCACACCCAGGGAAACACCAGCATCACTCAGAACTCCTGTAAATATGCTGAAACATATTCCCCTTAACACAGGAAGGACCTTTCCACAGGAGGTTTGTATCCCATGGGATGAGAACTGTTATTGCATCAGTCCTGGTGAAAGACAAAAGGTGGTTTTAAGTGGGGAGATTTGTTTTCTGTTTTCCAGTTAACCCCAGCAGAGTCATCCTCACTCCTAACTTGCCTAAATGTTGCAATGCTTCCAGTTGACTGCAATGACCAAATGGATGTTATGAAAAACAGATTTCCTGCTAACAGTGAGGGAAAGTTTCATGTGCTTCACACAACTATGAGATATTTCAGTTATGAGATATTTCAACACCAGGCTGAGCCCTGACAGAGAGAAGAATGGTCTGACTATTAGCAAACCAAGTGTCCCTAAAGCATTGAAGCCTTTTGCAATTCTGCTGTGCCTTTAAAGTGAAGAATGAAACATTTCCAGGCATATTTCACCTGAAAGGAAGAACAGGCAGCATGGCTCCTTTTACCTCTACAGAGGAACAGTTTCTCTGGCACCAGGAGCCTGCAAGTCAAGGGACACAAGTGGAAAAGGCAGCACAAGCAGGGCTGGGATTGATCTCATTCCCTTCTTCCTCTCTCCATCTCCCTGGTAGAAGTAACAAGCCAGCTTAGGGAATTACCAGACAGATTGGGAACATGGAAAACCTGTGGCTGAATTTATGCAAGGACATCACTTTTCTGTGCTGTAATGGAGAGAATTAGACATATTGAATTGCTCACCACACAGATATGGAATTTTGAAAGCCCTTACTATTGCACAAATGTTGACAGGATATTTTATTTACTGCATCATTAAAGGTTAAAGAGACTCGTTCTCTGGAGGATTCATTTTTTCAACTCTTAATATCAATTAAAGCTAATTTCAGCTCTAACCAATGATTAACATAAAATATGGAAAAAGCTCTAACTGAGCATTTTTGTTCATTGCTCCAATTCTCTGGTATTGCTGGGGCACTTTATAGGTACTGATGCAGCTCTGCATCACCCATGACACAGATGATTTTCCTCTCCAAGGTTTTTTTTTGTTTTGTTCATGAAAATGTCGCAAATATGCTCAAAATGCATTTGATGATTTGGAACAAAATTCTTATTTAACCATTTCATAGCAGATGATCAGGGATATTCTCCATGGGCTTCCCTATATGGCTGGGTACAATGTCTGGATACAAATGTCTCTTGTTCCAAGGCCTGCAGCTTCCATATCCTTCATATATATGATAAATTAGCCCACTCTGAGGTACTTGTGCAGCCACAAGTTTGCAAATGGAGTGGGGAAGACACTTTAACTGTTCGAGGGAAAATGAAAAACCTTGCCTGCCACTTATGAGCTGAAGCCAGACCAGCACAGCTGGATGCATGTACCCATCTTCACCTGACAAAATACTGATTCCATCCACACAGCACAGAGAGCCCAGGAAAATAAGCTACAATTCATCTGCTGGACAGAATCAGAGGTTTGTGCAGCCCAGCTGAGGGTGCCCCACCACAGCTCCCCCATCCTGGGGCTGTCCAGCTGGTTTTGCTTTGAAATTGGAGGTAGTAAAAACAGAAAAGATTTTTGGAAAACTGAGCACAAAGACAAACTCCCAGCATGGCCAGCACAGTCTTGCACTAATTTGCCACAGTCTTGTCTAACCTTTTCAGGACTTGTCTACTTGTATCCTAATTTTAGGCTATTTATTGTTAACAAGCACTAATCTGGGATCAATCAGCATGCAAAGGTCACAGCAGAAGGCAGAGGGAAGGCAGGGAGTGGTACAGATGCTCTGAGGAAGGTCAGCTGCTGCCACTCAG